CTGTCTCCTGCTGCTCCCCTCAGCAGTGCTTGTCAGTAGATCCGCCTGTTCTGTTCCCCCCTCTGTCTCTGGGGAATCCTCTCACCCCCCACACCTCTGGCCTACACCCCGGCTCTTATATGCATAATGTTTGCATTATTTTGTTTATTCATCTGTCAATTGTCTTAAATCCTTTCTTGAGCAGGTAGGGGATAAATAAAATGAAAGTGAAAGTTCAACACAAGTAAACACCAAACTGCCCCAGCCAAGCAGAACACACCCCTCTGCGTGCCTCACAGCTTCACTGTTCCTGAACTTCCAGGCAACAGGAAAGCTTTGAACTGAATTCTCTGTAAGAGAGCAAGCAAGGAGGTGTTGTGGTGGACAACACGGAACTAGAGCCTTGCATTTTCAGGATGTAATTAACGGCTTGACATGTCCAGAGCAGAAAGATAACAAGCACCTCATGGTTCATTAAAAAAACACATTTTAAAGTTTAACCTCATGGTGTTTGCTAATCACTTTATGAGATGACACCGGAGGCAGCTGGGTACTCTAAGAGCCCCCCCCCTCCATGGGCAAGACTCAGAAAGCCCCCCAACTCCACCAGGGCACCCTCCTGATCCCCAGTGCCTCTGATCAGGTGCTCTCCTCCCCGCCATGCTGACAGTGGAGGGCAACTTTCTGGACCCCACTCTCACTTTGGGTGATCCCTGGTCTCTGCACCAGTCTCCCATTTTTAGCCTGAGCCTGTGGAGCCCCCCCCAAGTAAAATTCAAGACCTTGTGGGAAGGGGTGTTGTGAGAGCCTTTCAAAGACTGAACTCAGAATTCTGACCCAAAAGAGCAAAGAGAGCTTCAGCTGCCCTTAACCTAATGCTCAGCATAAATTCTGGAACTGCGATTTTTACTGACAGATGGGCGGTACATTTAGTCGGGATGAAGCACTCCAAGGCTCTCTACGCACATGTCTGTCTTTTTTCAATAAGCAAAACCACATGTTTATCAAAACCCAGGAAATAACAATAATTGCCTGAACACCTACGCGCCACATATCTCACACACAAGCCGACACTCCGCAGACAGCTCGTGCACCTGGCTCACAGCAGTTGCCCACTACAGGATCACCTGTCATCTACAGGTCAACAGCAAAGGAAACGGAGCAGAGGGTTCAATGCCTAGTGAGGGGCACAAACCCTGGCCTGGGCACCTGACCCGCCGTCAGCCACAAAGTCCCCCAGAGCTGCCCCTTCTGCTCTCCACGACTCCAGGAAGCACCTTGGCAGCAAGGGGCGGAGACTGAGAGGCTGAAACGTGCTCAGAGCAATGCACTCCCCAGCCTCTTGGCTCACAGGACACCTGAGGATGTGATCCTCGGTGCAGTTAGGTTTTTGGACAAGCAAGACTGCACACGACTTGTCCCAAGCACCTACTTCAAGCAGGGTGATTGTTATGAAGATCAGACTTGAACAGCACTTAGGGGGTGGGAAACTCATTCAAGGAATGACATTGCTCCCCTTCTAGACCTGAAGTTAGGGCAGAGTGAAACCAACATACAGTGCCTGAGGGTTTAGGCGTGGCGGAGCCATCCTGGTGGGGAGGTTGGTGACTTGGTTCCCAGATCTATGCTGCAAGGGGCCAGCAGACCCCATCTGGCCCTGTGCTCCTTTCTGCAACCCCCACTCCACGATGTAACCTGCCACCAGAGAAACCGGGACAACCACAAATTGTGTTAAAGAGCACGGTGCCCTACACCAGGGGAGGACGCAAGGTGGGAACTCTGGGGACCTTTCTAAGGGAAGGCTGTGACCTCCAGCTTCCTGTCTCATGGCTGCTTTGGAAAGAAGACCCCAGCACCAAGCTCCACGTGTAGATCACAAGAAAAAAGCTCTGCTAGTTAGGCTTACATTTTACTTAATACCTTTTTTCTTTTCATTTTTTTTTTTATAAATTTTTTTTTTAAAGATTGATTTTTATTTATTTATTTGTTTGTTTGTTTATACGTACAAGCACTGGGTACAGTCAGAAGCGCGGGAGGGTGAGAGAATTCACCAGAGCCCGAGCGGGGAGCAGAGCAGGCAGAATGACGACATACACTGCTGAGGGGAGCAGCGGGCGGCAGGAGAGGTCTGCGCGCCATGTGGGACCCTCCTCCGGTGGCCGGGGAGCAGCTGGGGATCGAACTGGTGCTGCAGAGGCTGCGGGCAGCTTCACAACCCAGCGCTCAACCACTGCGCCACTGGGGAGGCCCTTAATACCTTTTTTCAAAAAGTGCTTAAAACCTGAGGAGATTGGTTCCTTTAAGGTTAAATGGATTGGGACCACAGATCTTAAAATGGGTTCTATGCACTGCTGAATGCTGTGAATAAAAAGAAAACAAAGGTACTACAATGCTGATAATGGGAACCAGTCAATTAATTAGGAATAAATTAGGTTTAAAGTGTGTCCATTAAAATGTTTAGAAAAAACACAAAGATAAGAACATTTCAGTCTAACTAAATGCTCCCTCCAAATACATTTTGGAAAATCTCAGCTTAGTGATTTCAGGTCAGTGATGCTGCCTCTGGCAGAGATGCCAAGCTGACTTGAGAGCCCCATTAATGATAAATGACTCTCTCCCCTCAACATGGAGCAGGTGGACCAGGAAATCCAGAACAGTGGAGAAGGGTAAGGATCGAGAGGATGCAAGCCTGGCTGCCTGCTTCACTCTCTGGGAAGGGAGATTCTTTGTTGATTTTTGACATTACTGTTATTCCAATCGTTTTAATTATGTATTATGTTTATAATTTTTAAACAAGACTCCCCCCCCGCCCCGCCCAGGTTTTGGGTCAGGTTGCTTCCATCTGAGATTCCTAAGGAAAAGTTTTGATGGCACTTTTTTGCAGGGATTTTGAAGTGCCCCTGGGAGGGGAGCTGGCCTCTGACAGCATACTTAAATGGCTGGAAGTGGCAGAATTGATAGCAAGCTTGAAAACAGGTGTTATTATCTTCTTCTGACCTCACAAGAAAGAATGAAGGTTACTTCTAGCTTATCTCCAACTAAGTCATGTGATTGCAACTTCAGGTCAATTTCCGATTTCACAAAAAAATCCTAGTAAATATCAAGCCCATACATCACCTTCAGACCTTCGCTTCTAACAGAATCCTGAAAGGAACCTGTAAGTCACACCTGATGGCATCTCACAGAGTCTGTCCACAAAGGCAACAGAGTAGCTTCACTGCCTATGGAATTTGCCTATAGTTAAAAACATGGGAAGTGCCTTCACTCATTAGGAAAATGAAGTGTTTTCTTAAAGAAATATTTCCCTGGCTCCCTCTCAACAGTCCAATCCATGACAGATCCTAAAATCCTTTGACAAATGTTACCGATGACCCTTGCCAACCCTTCTATTCTAGATTTCTTTGTGAATTTGCAGCTACCAGCGGTTCAGTAAGCCTGGTAAATGGTTGCTCAGTGCTGATAAACCAGGCTAATTATAAATGAGTGGTAAGAAACACTGATTTCAGAAAAGCTGTTTTCATTGCTGTTTCTAGAATAAGAGAAAACTTAAAGAACAACTAGCCAGCTAACCTCATTCAAGGGAAGGAAACTGAAGGCCAGTTTCCCTAGGCCTCGCTGCTGATGGTTACAAATGGGAACAAGACTCTCCAGGGGCACTGTGGCAGCTTACCAAGGTCTGTGGCTAACAAAAAAATGGTTCATGGGATATTTTTACCGTAAATAGGTGGCTAACACATCTGAGGGTTTATGTGGGGTGCCCAAGACACAGGCCCACACCAGCAGCTCTGTGGTCTGAGGACTGGCTGGTAAACCAAGGTGGCAGCACAGCCTAGAGGTCACGAGCTGGGGCTCCAGAGTCAGACAGCCGAGGGTCAAATTCAGGCCCTGGTGCAAGTTACTTCATAGCCCTAACCCTGTTCCTCAACTGTGACTCAAGGGTTACCATAATACCTGACATGAGAGCTGACCTGAGAACGCAATGAGATAAAATAAGGCAAAGTGTTCTTTTGGCAAAGGTGGTCCTGGACGAAGGAAGCACTTTTAATAACAGCTGTTATTGACACCATACAGGCTGACGTCTACTGACAACACACTCCTAACCTGGCTTTACCTAGACGAGCCAAACGTGGCTAGTTCTGTTCACTGGAAAACCTAAGGGTTTAAATTAAGGATTCTCACGCAGAGCTGGAAGGCTGAACACAGCAGTTTAGAGAGAAATGATCCACCTTATGGCCTGACCTTGGAAGCCTTTTTTGCCCTTCACTCTGATCCCTGCTGGACTAGTCAACAAAAACCTCAACTGACCGGGCCACGGTGTGAAAATCTCTTCTCGTCTTTCATTCGGCAAGTAAACAAGCACGTGGCGCGTGGGACCCGGCCGGCTGCGGCGGCTCCCGGGGGCACCGCTTCTTTCCAGGCCTCGGCGCCGCCGCGCATCCGAGGCCTCCGAACCGAGACAGCAAGCGCGGGGAGCGCCTCCCGGGGTTTGGGGACAGCGGCTCAGGGGACAGCACGGCTCCAGACACGTGTCCGTGGGCCTGGACGGACTCACTGCAGAGCTGGAACGTCCCCATAGAAGCCTCGGGGCCCGGACAGAACCCGGGGGAGCTTCCCCGGCGGCCTTGACCTTGGCGTCTGGGTCTCAGAGGCGCATCCTGCCGGTGCGGGGAGAGGACACAGGCCCTCCGCCAGGGCGGCCAGGGGAGCCGGACGCGGTACCGGGTCCTGCAGAACCGGGAGCCCCGCGCCAAACCCCCCTCCGTGGGCGCGGGGCCTCCGGCCCGGTCCGGCCCCGGCGCGGCGGCCTCGGGGCGCAGGGCCAGCGGCGGCCGGGGCAGCCCCGCGCCCGGGTGGGTCGGCGGCGGGGACCGCTCCGTCTGCCGGCGGCCGCGCGCGTCGGGCGGGGTCACGCGGCCTCCCCGCCGGCCCGGCCGCCCGCAGCGGAGCGGGGCCGCCCGCCCGGCCCTCCCGAGCGGCCCGGCCCGGCCTCGGCCCCGACGGCGTCCCGCCGCAGGTCTCACCTCCCGGCGCACGTTCAGCAGCGAGTAATAGTCTTCATTGTCCAGCTCCTCCTCGCTCAAGGCCGTCGCCATCTTCGCAACCTTTCACCCCGCCAAACCGGCCGGGCCGTGCTCAAGAGGGACCGGCGGCCCACGGCGCCACCGCGCGGCCCGGCGCCGCGGCGCCACAGCGACCCCTGGCGGCCCGGAGCCGCGCCGCCCCCGCGCCCGCGAGAGCGCGCCTGCGCCCTGCGCCCCCGTGCGGCCGAGGGCGGGCCTGGCGCCCGCCGCCGGCCACGTGCTCGTGCGCCCCAACGCCCAGCCCGGCGGCCCGAGGGCTGCGCCTGCGCCGGGAGCCGGGCGCTGCGGCCGCGCCTGGGGGTCGCCACCCTCCGGCGCTGCGCACCTCCCCGGTCCCCCCCTGGCCGCGAGGGCGGGCCCCTCTGCAGCCTGCACAGCCCCACCTGGGCCGCACCTGGGCCGCACCTGGGTCGCACCTGGGCCGCACCTGCCCGGCGCCTCCGCCTTGGGACCCGCTCCAGCCGGCTGCCTCGCCTTCTCCCTTGGCCGCCTTGAGCCCAGCCCCGAGGACGGGCCGGCCCTTCCTGTCTCGTCACGCCTGGGAACACGGCCCAGGTTTCTGCTGCTTAAATGACAAGGCCGGGCAGGTGCTACCGCCAGCCCCGCCGCACTGCCCTTCTGCTGGGAACGTCTACCCTGTCACTTAGCGGCGGGGTCCGATTGATTCCCACCCAGTGCCTGGCGTTTGGTGCGTTATTAAAGACGTCCTGGTTACAATCATCTAAATAATTTATTTTTTTAAGATTTATTTTATTTATGCATAGAAGAACTGGGGTGCAGGCCAGAGGTGCAGGGGGTGAGAGGATTCACCAGAGACAAAGAGGGGAGCAGAACAGGGACATTGACTGAAATGCACTGCTGAGGGGAGCAGCAGGGAGGCAGGAGAGGTCTGCTGCGCCATGTGGGGAGCTCCCTGGCTGGGGATTGAACTCAGGCTGCAGTGGCTGCGGACAGCTTCACAGTGCTGAGACTTAAACCCTTGCACCACCAGGGAGGCCCACATCTAAATAATATAAATGTCTTGGGAACAATGCAGGGGTCGTCAGCAGAACCCCCCATACTCCCGCCACCTGCCTGCCTCCTGCTGACCTCGGCCTCTCGTCATAATTTCTCAGGAACGCTGTTGAGTCCCCGCTCACCCTGCCTTTAGGGCCATCCGGTGTCCCCTGCGGCAGCTGGCCTCCGGGGAGCCCCAAACACCTGTCTGTGGATTTGACAAGTGGATTTCTTTCTCTTCCTAATTTCTGGCCAGATGTGCGTCATGTGGGCCCGTGTGTCCCTTCGGCGGCATCTGGCTCTCGCTGGGTCTTCTGGCACAGACACGGAGGTGTGCTGAGCCGGTTCCTCGGGAGCGCTGAGCCCGTCTGCAGCCACTGTCGGCCAGCTTGTAAACGGAAGGCTCTTTCCGGAACTGCGTGCAGCTCCCTGCAACAGTCTCTCACGCGCCGGTGCTGTCAGCTAATCCAGCCATTTTTTATGGTTTCCTTTCTTCTCCTCTGCAGAGCTGTGATTAAGGCTAAACTGCGTGCTGACATTTGCAGGTCATGAGGAAATCCTCACAGAGAGACTGAGGGGACGTGACATCTCAAGCCACCCCTCCTTCCGTGGTCATGACACAGGCCATAGCGCCCAGCTAGGAAGAGAGGCTCCTTGCGGTGCTTTCTCTGCTTTGGAAAACGCTGCCTCTAGAAATGACATAAACGGGACAGCACGTGGGTTTCAGAAGGCCCGGGTCTGGGTTTCTGTGATGGAAAATGACCCGGCTTTTATCACCACTCAAACCAAATAAACAGTGACCCGGGGATGCTCAGCGCGCCCCTGTGGACTCGCGATATTTTCTGTTATGGTTACTTGGAAAGTGGTTGTGACAAATGGAAAATAAACTTAAATACACCACCGGCCTGGGGATACCGTTACTTCGGAGATCGGCCGTCTTCTTTCCTCCCAAACCCCTAATCTGTGATGGGCCAAACAACAGAACCAGGAGCAGAACAGACGGTCCCGTTAAGCACCCACAGGCGGCTGCTGCTCACGCTCGTCACCGTCACTCTTGCACCTTTGTTTTCTTATTGGCGAGAGCCTGTCACTTAGCTGTCAAGCAAAGCTCATCTGCAATGTCACATTTATGCAGCGGTAGACACGCGTGTGCATGTTACACATGTGTGTCTAGGCCAAGGACGTCGCTCACCTGTATTTTTTTCCACTGTGATTGTTTTATTGCATCACGCAATTCTCTCATCTTTAACTAGTGACTGGGGACATGTGCCTCCACCACCTCCCCTTTGCGGGGTGACTTGGGCATGTTTGGTCCCCAGCACAGCACTCAGGGGTTTCCTGTTTTCGGGGTCCCTCCAGGGCAAAGGCCTGGGCCTCTCTTCTAGCGTGCGTGGTCAGGGCTGCAAGGTTGAATATGGGGTGTCCCGTTAGCTGGAACTTCAGATAACAAGGAATTTCAGGGCCTCCCCGGTGGCGCAGCGGTTGAGCGCCAGGTTGCGAAGCTGCCCGCAGCCTCCTCAGCACCGGTTCGATCCCCGGCTGCTCCCCGGCCACCGGAGGAGGGTCCCGCATGGCGCGCAGACCTCTCCTGTCTCGCCCGCTGCTCCCCTCAGCAGTGTATGTCGTTATTCTGCCTGCTCTGCTCCCCGCTCTGGCTCTGGTGAATCCTCTCACCCTCCCGCGCTTCTGACTGTACCCAGTGCTTGTATAAATTAATAAATAAATATTTTAAAAAAAAAAATCTTAAAAATAAATAAATAAAGTCTTCTGAATCTTTAAAAAAAAAAAACAAGGAATTTCGTTAGTGTGTTAGCAGGCAGAATGAGGGGCACCCCGACCTATCTGCATAAAGGCAAAACATACCTTGAGTGCATACAACCTTCAGTAGAAAAGAACTTTCATACAGTTAGTGTGCGGTGGAGAGAGGCAGAGAAAGGGCAGAGTTGAAATGGTTTCCCAGGGAAGCACCCAAAAAGCCTGCCCCAGTCTGAGGCCACCCCCTTCCCCTGCTGGGCCACAGGAACGGGCAGAAGGCGCCAGGCGGGGCTGGGAGGAAAGGAGCAAAATCAAAGTGCAAGTCAGGACAAAGGCTGCCCCTGCCAGGCTCCCCGCGGGCTCCCCCGCGCCTCCCCCAAGTGTCGCCACCATGTCCCCAAGTCCTGGTGCCAGCCCCAGGCCGGGAGGCTGGCACAGCGCCTCCGCGTGGCTCTCTGCCTCGGTGTCTCCAGGCCCCCCTCCCTCCGTCCCTTCCTGGGTCCTCAGCGCCCCTCCCGTCCTCTCCAGCGTCTCCTCCCTGCTCGGCTCCACGCTTCCTTGGGTGGGGCAGGGACCCTGAAGCTCCCCCTGTCTATGGGGCTCACCCTGTTACATAAGTACAGTTGGCCCTTAAAGGGTGCGGGGTTGAGGTATACCTGCCCCCATGCCCTTGATAGTCCACATACAACTTTTGACTCCCCCAGAAATACCCAGAGCCTGCTGTTGACCCAAGACCGACCGACCACATGACAGCTGATCAGCGCCTATTTTGTCTATTAGTTGTTATATATGGTATTCTTTTTTAAGAAGATTATTATTTATTTATTTATGCATACAAGAGCTGGGGTACAGGCCAGAGGGGCGGGAGGTGAGAGGATTCATGAGAGACAGAGCGGGGAGCAGAACAGCAGACTGACTGAAACACACTGCTGAGGGGAGCAGGGGGAGACAGGAGAGGTCTGCTGCGCCATGTGGGCAGCTCCCTGGCTGGGGATGGAACTCGTGCTGCAGTGGCTGGCGACAGCTTCATAGTGCTGAGACTTAACCCCTTGCACCTCCAGGGAGGCCTTGTATTCTTATAATAAAGGAAGCTAGAGGAAGGAAACACATTCAGAGACTCAGAAGGGAAATAGGTCTGTGATACTGAGTTTTTGGATACCATGAGTCCTTGCCGTCCATTTACAAGAAAATCTGGGTGTAAGTGGGCCTGCGCTTGGAAGGGTCCAACCAGAGTCTGAACACACTCATGTGCAGGTACGCACCCTTAAAAAAATTCCATGCTAATCTGAAATGCAGATGTGAATCAGGTTCTGTATTATTATTTGCAACATCTGGTCACCCCAGCTGAGTCCTGCTAAGGTGACCTGAACCCACCCACTGCCCTTTATTTATTTATTTATTTTTAAAGATTTATTTATTTATTTATACAAGCACTGGGTACAGTCAGAAGTGCAGGAGGGTGAGAGAATTCACCAGAGCCAGAGCAGGGAACAGAACAGGCAGACGGACGCAGTACCCTGCTGAGGGGAGCAGCGGGCGGCAGGAGAGGTCTGCGCGCCATGTGGGACCCTCGCCGGCGGCTGGGGATTGAACTGGCACTGCAGAGGCTATGGGCAGCTTCCCAGCCCAGCGCCCAACCGCTGCGCCACCAGGGGAGGACCTGCCCTTTAATTCAGGAGGAAATTCAGCAGATTATTCTCTCTGTTCTCTCGGTCATGGAGTCCAAATGGGATCCGAACCCATGAGCTGTTCCTAGCCTGCCCGCCACACCCCAGTGAGGGCTGCGGGTGGCTGTATGGGTATAGACAATAAACTAATCAGTTAATAAGGAAGAGAATTGCAGGTCTAAGTGCTTTAATAAACCACAGCGATGGGGGAGTCCACGTTATGCTGGTTGCTTATGGAAGGTCGACCCGAGGAGGTAATTTTGAGCTGAATGATGGGAAGGGTCCAGCTTTAGAGCAGGAGACTTCCTGTGCAAGGACTCAGAGACAGGAAGAAGCTGATGCAGGTGGGGGAGGCAGTAGGAAGAGACAGGCTCAGCCAGGGCAGGATGTGGTCAGGAAGTTTAATCTTATTCTGCCCACAGTGGTGAACCACTGACAGGTGCTAAGCTGGGAAATGACATGGTCTGATTTTTTTCCCCTTCAAAGGATCACTCCAGACTGGTTGGGGGCAGCAGGAGAATGGAATGTTTGGACTTGGGCTAAGCAATGAGGGTGGGCAGACAAAATCCACTCTGGGCTGGAAAATCCACTCTGGGCTGGAGTCAACAGAAACTACTGATAGACTGACTTTGCGGGGACTG